ACCAGTTTTCCCCGGCGGCCGTAGACGGCCAGTCGGTCCCAGGTACCGTCGGTCACAGGTACCGACGGTCACCCTCAACACTGAAACACAAACCTCTCACCGACTGCTGGTCCGTGGTACTGTTTTTGTGATAGTTTTTTCCATCCAGAATACTGCATATTTTAAAGTATTTCCTTCACTGCTTATATTTTTAGACGTGTTTTACGTTTGATCAAAGCCTGAAGTCGGCCTGTGTTTTGAACAAAAACTCTTTTATTCCTTCCGTTTGTCCCAGTTGGACTTCTCACCTTCACTACCTGAGAACCTATGCATCGACGTACTGTAAGAACCGACCCGTTACTGTAACAAGAACCGTTTCATGTGCAATAATATTGTCCTGTCCCACTGTTTGACTGCCGTTGATACAGCAGCAGAGAGAGCTGTTACTATGATGTCACCGTCCATTTACTGTAAACTTATCCTTTATTTACATACAAGAAAAAAAACAACAATAAATACAAATCCTCTGTTAAAGAAGCGGCGTCTGAGTATGAAGAGGTTTTGCGGTTAAATGTTTGAATTTTTTTTTTTTTTACGGACTGGCCTTTAATAAAATGATACAATGGTCATAAAAGCTGGTATTTTCTAAATCTAACATTCAACATTTAGCCAACTTATCATAACATCGCGCTCATCTTTTAATGCAGAACTCTTGGTCTCCAAGTGGCCAAGTTCAAAACTGGTACCAGTTGACCCCCGGACCAGTGCCGGTCCACAGCCCAGGGGTTGGGGACCACTGCTCTAGACAGAGAGTTGAAATCTAAAGGCGTCCGTTAGTCCGTGGAGATGAAGCCCAGGTTCTGGTCCTGGACTCGTGATGATCCTGATGATCTCCAGGTTCCACCTGTCGGATGTGGAGTCCGTCTGGTCCGGTTCTTCCTCTCAGACCTCCTTTATCTTTATGTCGTGTTTCCTGTGTAACACGTCCAACACCTGAGGCAGGAGCTCCATGTTGAGAAGTGGTCTCTGCAGGTCCTCTGCTCCACTGGAAGACTCCGGGTCCAGGCTCCGGTCCAGAGTGACCTCTGACACCGTGGTGTTCAGTCTCTTCCTGTGTTTGGGCCTCAGCGAGGGCAGAGAGCGGGCCTCGAACCCCGAGTGTCTGCCGTGGATGAACAGAGTGAAGCTGGAGGTTCTGGCCAATCTCAGGCTCCACAGCAGCAGAACCAGGACACAGGCCAGAACCACGGCCGTCACGGCACCGACGGCTCCACCGGAACACCCCGGTGGGCCGCAGGAGCTGAAGTAGTCATCGGTCAGTGCACTGATGGAGGTGTGGGCCACAGAGCTGGGACTGGTACACACGGGCTCCTCCACCACGGCCCGTGGGTTCTTCAGCAGCCAGTTCCTCAGGTACTGGATCTGACAGTCGCAGTGGAAGATGTTCCCGTGCAGGGAGACGGTCTTCAGACCCAGCAGTCTGTCAAACCGGCCCGGAGACACGGTGGTGAGGCGGTTGTTGTGGAGGTGGAGCTCAGTGGTTTCAGGAGGAAGGACAGGAAGTTCCACCAGGTCCAGAGAACTGCAGTTCACTCGGAGTTCTGTGGAGAGGACGGAAAACAGGCACCCAGGAGCAGCTGGTTGGGCTGTGGACCGGAGGAGGAAGAGGAGGAGGAGGAGGAGGAGGAGGACAGCTAGGCCTCCACCAGGGGGCATCCTGTAGGAGAAGGAGGTTTTATTACACACCGATACCAAGACAAATATTTTAATTTGTGTACTTGCCCAGACAGAGTACTAGTTGATTCAGTTTGGAAAGTTATGGTTACATTAGTGACAGGTTACCGTTGATAATATGACGATAAATCGTTTTATTTAAAACCGCCGTCATCGTTGACCAACTTCAATAAAGTACCACGAGGACAGTGACGCACTGACCATAAAAAACCTGACCAATGCGCAGCTGGTTGAAGAAAAGAAAACTGTTGTCGAGTACGATTATCGAACATTAGAATGACGTATCGGCTTCGATACAAATACTAGAATTAGTTGAGGTGCATCTTAAATAAAAATCCGGATTTATTCCAATGTATCGTCAGATAAAAAATATAATCACATCTAAGATATGACGGGAACAAGTCTGAAAACAAATATCGGTTTAAAACAGGTGCAAAACAACAAACAACAAACAAACAAACAAACAAACAAACAAAACCAACCTTTTAAAGTAACTCCAACTGGTACGTTTCTAAAGCCGCTGTCATTCACAAAGTTCTCCTCGGTTTTACCCATTGTTGTCGGGTTCTGTCAGAATCATCACAGCCGGAACCGAACCACGTCAGTCTGACAGAAACCCCCGGTGGAGCCGCGCAGCTGGGGCGCGTTCATGTGAAGGGCGTCCATGTGCTGTGAGGAGATAAGGACGTATCTGTGAGAACCGTTTATCCACCTCAGTGCTGAGGCCACAGACCTGGACGTGGACATTTACATTAACACACATGTGATCACAGCGGGACTGAAGTACTTTCTAGAATGGATGACGTAAGCAGCCATGTAGCCCGCCGTGAGCTAACGAGGCTAAAAACAAGATCGTCGTCCAATATAAGACACGTCGTGGTTTATACTTTAATATGTTATTATTATACGGTGACAGAAGGAGTTCGTTAGTGTTTCAACTACTATTACTTTAATTAAAGTTAGTATAAAATAGTTAACAGTAATAAAGAAAAAATTAAAGTTAGTATAAAATAGTTAACACTAATAAACACAGTTAAAATAACAAACAAAAAAAAACAACACACAGTCAGACTGATTTAAACACGGGAAAATAAATAACAGAAATCTTAATGTATGTGAGAAAGTGTGGTGCAGCAATTATTTTTACCTATAGGTGGTGCAGCGGGGCAGTTTTCGTTTGGAATTTATCCAACGCCCTCTGGTGGTTATGCTGCGACACGTACAAAATAGGGTTTGAGCCTGGAAGAAGGATTATAACAAGTTATTATTTAATTTTTCACTGTGAAATTAAATTTATTTTTTACTTTAACAAAATTAAGACAAACGCCACGTGTGGACGATTGAAGTACAGCATACAGTATTTAATTTTTCACTGTGAAATTAAATGTATTTTTACTAAAATTAAGACAAACGCCACGTGTCGACGATTGAAGTACAGCATATATTAGTACATATTAGTTTCAATATGTTGAAACTAATATAATAGTGATATAAAAAATATAACATGATGGATATGTCACAGCAGGATGAAGAAAAACAGAATTTACCTGAAGTGTCTTAACCACTGTCACATCACAGGGGGCGCTGCAGTCATCTGAGGGCTGACTCCCCACCACAGAAGAAGACTCTGTTTTATATATACACAGGCTAAACACAGGAGGCAGTGGGTGTCGACAGGAAGTGACATCATGAAGACGTTTTTGAAGGAAAGATTAACCCCTGAGGTCGACTGTGACATCACAGCTTCAGGCTCAGGTTGACGCCTCGGAGGACACACACACACACACTTCATGAGAAGACAACACACACACAGGTGTACCATAAGTCATATATTTGTTTATTTCTGCGTCTCAACATGGTCACAGTTGTAGTTTTACAATAACTGGGGTCGTACTGACTCACTACGTACTGTACAAATGCAGATATGAATGATGTCATTTCCTGTCTTTTTTCATCCAATGGGTCTCAGGCCACAGCTCGCAGCAGGATATGTGTGTGTGTGTGTGTGTGTGTGTGTGTGTGACATGAATCTTTCCACCAGTCTCTGTTTGTTTGTTTTTACATTTCTACAACAAATGTCAAACTGAGAGCAGACCGTGGATTTGTTCCGGTATCATCCGTCGCTGCGCTGAGCCGTACTGCATATCTACACCCTGGTCATACTACACGTAGACACCAGAAGTACTGAGTACTGAGTACTGATCATATACATATTACATAAGGATTCTTCAAAGCCGTTTGGTCCCTTTACAGCTCCTCCCACTGAGTGGACTACTTTACACCCGCGACCCACATATTTACACTTCGAACATCCTCAGCGACCCAACGCTCTCAGCGCTGGTATTTTTACACAATGGCTTTGGTGGATGAAGGTCATGCTGATGTGGGGGGGGGGTGAGAGGG